ACAAACGTTACTGTCTCAGATAGTATCACCACTGAACAACTTGTACTGTACCCTCTTCCTATTAGAGCTGAGAGCCTGCAGAGGCCTCACGTATTGGATCTACCTAGTTTCTCAATGGTTCTGTGCAAGCTAGCTCATGTTTTCCCAGGCATGCACCACTTCAGGATTTCTTGGGTAAAACATGCCTGAAATCTTGAATTTCAACTTTTCTCTTCTGCTCCTTGGCAGAGCATTCCCTCTCTTCCAGGTCTAGCCAGGGAGGGCAGATGTTATAATCGTGCCCTGTGATGGCGAGGGATTTGAGGCCCATGGTTGCAGAGTCAGAACTAGCCCCTGATGCTCTTTTCACAAAGTCCTTTCTGTGGAGGTCGGAGGAGGGCGTGTTCAGATCAGACACAAGCAGAGGGATCAATCTATCAATAAACTACTCCCAGAATATTAGTTCACATGCCAACACGGTTGAGTCTTCACCCATCATAGGCCTCAGTAGAGATCTGCACATCGACTGGCATGATCTCTGGGCTTGAGTGAGACGGGTGTCCTTTCCTTCTTTAGTGGCATTCCTTGCAGAATTAATTTTTGGGCAAAGGAGTCTTTCTTACTTCATACTTAGTACCCATGTTGACAATGTGCCTGGCAAAATTAATAGTAATATTAATCATTATGGCAGGTTGTGAACAAAATCTGTCAGTATCACGAAAGATTCATGCTTTCTGCAGCCCTTATGTTCTGCTTGCAGTTCCAATAATGAAGCATCTCAGAGCTCTGTTAGAGAAATAACAACTGAGTTTATTAATGATAACAAGCGTGAATATAAAATTATACAATGTACCATTTACATAATGCAAATAGAGGGATTGATTACAAACCTAGAGAGGGAGAGGGTTATGGCTTGTCAATGAACTTTTAAGCCCACGATGTTGGCATTAGGAAAGTTTTTTTGTCTTTTTTTCTGGCAATGGCATTGACCTGCCAAGTATCCATGGAAGGCGGACTACAAGTTGTGAGTAGGATATAGGCTTAGATATGATTGCTTTACATCGCATTCACAGGGTGACTTAAATATAAAGCTAGTGCCTGAAAGATGTACAGCCCTTTGCCTCCCACAATTTTTTTCTCCTGTACGTGGTATCACTTAAGACTTAAAACCACATGACAGAAGATAAGTCAGGCTTGACTGTTGAGGGCATGAAGTTATACAAGCTAACTTTGAAAATATTACCTCAGCTCACAAACAATCTCCCTGCAATGGGAACTGGTCCACCTTCTGTTGGGTCATAGAAGTGAGCCAGGCAGAGTATCTGAAGTTGCTGTATCCTCTCCGCATGCTTGTGGGGCCTTGAGGAGACAGCTCACACTAGCTATCAGGTCATTGGCTGGGAATTTAACATGGAAACGAGCGTGAGAACTGGGGATCAGTCTTTCCTGGTGGTTGGACCTATACCATGAAAACATGGGTGATCTTGTCTCCCATCAGGCAGAATGGGACGAAAAAATCTGACAGAAGAGAAAGAAGCAGTTTGACAGAAAGAAGCAATAATGAAAGAAATCATGTGCTCTCTTCCAGGCCTGCAGTGCATTTTTAGCTCCTTTATCCACAACCTTGAGACCCTGTTATGTTCCTGCCCTTGGCTCCCATGAAATGCCTGTGGATCCTGGAAATATCCTGCTTGTATTATGTTTTTGATTAAGGTAGCTTTAGTGTGTGTTTATTATTAATAAACAGAGTCTCAACTATGATAAATAATTCACCTAAGTCACAAAGCTAGTGAGGAGCACAGAGTGAGAGAGCACTCGGGTTTCCTAACTACTTCTCTGCAGCGTTTCTATAGCTCTGCAGCTGCTGCGCTGTAGTCAGGACCCTCCAGGCCTGTCATGAGAGTGGAGCCCTCTTCAGGGTCCTCAGATCTCAGAGCCTGGGATGAGAGCATTCTGCTTGGCTTCTAGCATGTACAGATGTTCTCTATCAGGATGCTTCTTGATTCATCAAAAATCTACAGGACGGAAATGCAGCCAGCTGCCATTCTCCTTGCTCATCATCTTTCCTGGTGTCACTCACACCTCACTGCATTTGGTAATGCTCTTGTCGTGAGTTAGTGAGGAGCACAGAGTGAGAGAGCACTCGGGTTTCCTAACTACTTCTCTGCAGCGTTTCTATAGCTCTGCAGCTGCTGCGCTGTTTGCCAGCCCCCATCCTGTAGTCAGGACCCTCCAGGCCTGTCGCGAGAGTGGAGTCCTCTTCAGGGTCCTCAGATCTCAGAGTCTGGGATGAGAGCATTCTGCTTGGCTTCTAGCATGTACAGATGTTCTCTATCAGGATGCTTCTTGATTCATCAAAAATCTACAGGACGGAAATGCAGCCAGCTGCCATTCTCCTTGCTCATCATCTTTCCTGGTGTCACTCACACCTCACTGCATTTGGTAATGCTCTTGTCGTGAGTGACATTAGCCAGAGCACAAATCAGGCAGCATCTGCTGAGGAATTGGGGTGGGGGATCACAAAGCATTCATAAAAGGGAAAACAAAATCAGGTGACATCCAGGTTCTCTTTCTGATAGTCTCTGTTTCTGGATTTGTGTTTAGGATAGATGGCTCTGATTTGTAGTGTTCCAGTTTAACTGTTCCTAAGGCTGGCTCTAGCATTTATCACAGAGGGAACTCAAACATTAAACTGATAGAGTAGGGTTATAACTAGGATAGCCACGTGGTTCAGTTTGTCCAGGATGATCTCGATTTATAGCTGTTGTCCTAGCAAAAATTTTAGTAGGACCCCTTTCCCTCTCAAACAGGTCCTGATTTGGATGACAGGTTATTTGATCACCCTGGTCATTGTCCCCATTTGACAAACCACCAACCAATGATATTTACTGAGATCCTACAAGGCATGACCTAAGGTGGTGTGAGTTTGTGTGTGTGTAAGTGTAAATGTAAGTATTTCGTTAATGAACTTAATTGCAATTTAGGGCTACAACAATAGCAAAACAGAAGTGTAACTCCAGGAGGCCAAATCTTTTTTTTTTTTTTTGAGACGAAATATTCTTAATGGTGGAACTAGAGAGAGTCTGGAGATAGAGAACTCAGGTTCACATACCAACTCTTATATTTGCTAGCGATGTGACTAGGAGAAAATTAACTCGTATTCACAAGCCTCTAGTTTCTTAACTATACATGTGGATGATAACAGTATCTTCCTCTTGGGGGTGTTGGGAGGATCGTTATATGTGGAAGGTAATTAGCATAGTGCCTGTGGAAATTAAGAACTCTGTAAATGAGGGCTAAGGTGGGATTCATAGCAGCAGGTCCTTACTGGCTTAAAAATCTTTGGAATCAGTCCTTGTCTCTGCCATTCCAACTCTGCGACATCTTAGATAGGACTAATCATAGAATCCCAGTGTTGTAAGACTGTACGGTAACCCAGCCCCACCCCTACCACTCAGTGGTGCATGGCTGGTAGGTAAACAACATTCCTCAGAATCATTCGTCACATTTCTTCTCTACATTTTCACATAGAGTTGTGACAGCAAGGCAAACTGTGTGCCATGGGCTTAGGACAGATGGTGTCAGAAAAATCTAGCGTGTGATGGAAAAACATGGTGCATTCCCATCCAGCATAGGGCAAGGCAGGAACAGTGTGCACTAACTAATTCCTCCTTCCAGGTGCTGGGGGTGGGAAGAGAAGGGAGCTAGTGGAGTGCCAATAGCAAATCCCTTCACGGAAAAGGTCTAGACTGCTGCTTCTCATGGATTTCCTCCCTGGACCTAGACAAATACTAAGTTATGTTACATGCTATTTGAACCTATGTTTCTTAGAAATGTACTAGGGACTCTTTTCATGAGTTGACTGAGAAATTTGGGACATCTTAGGACCTTGGCCAAAAAAAAACATGAACCCATTTTAAAAAAAGATATATAAAGCCAAATATGTTATTATTTAAATGAATGATTAACATTCATTGAGCCCTATATGCCAGATCTAAGAGCTCTACAAGCATTATTTCATTAAATGTTCACAAACAGATTCTATCACAGGTGCTATGCTAATTCCCATTTTGCTTATGAGGAAACTGGTTTGGAGAGGCTCAGGGTCATGCAGTCACTAGGAGGAGAGACTACTTACCTGGGTCAATCTGACTCCAGACTTTGTGTCTGACGATTATGCCTTTGCTATGATGAACTTGTCCTGACAATAATAGGTTATGAACTAGGCAAGCAAAATGTCTTTGATGATCATTGTATTCAAGTATGGAACACTAGTGAATAGAAGAAGAGGAATTAAAATACTGAGAGCTAAAAGGGCATTTCTGGTTTAGTTGAGTCTCCCTCCTGCTCCCAATCTGAGCTTACAACCTCTGGCCTTACAGTTGGGTGGCTAGTCTTGTTTCACAAGGAAGCTCTTTTATTTCTTCTTTGGAAAATATTCCAAGATTTTAGCAATACTAAAATGCGAGAAAGGTCTTCCAGATTTTGAACCTAAGGTGGTGGTGTGTAGTCTACCTAAATGATACGAGGTAGGAATTGGAACATGAGCTCTTTTTGCTATATTGGGTAACACACTGATTTCTTAATTTTTATTTGTATTTTTTAGTTTTGTAAATATTTATGATATGATTTCTGTATGCCAGGCTCTGTGGAGTCATTCAGAAGGCACAAAGGCAAGGGAAATAGACACAATGCTTATCCTCCTAAGTTTATTTTGCCTTTTGCTTGGAAAACGCAGATTATGAAACTCTGCCATATCCAATAGTGGAATGTATTAATTGCATTTTGCCAATCATCTATCTTTAAAGTTCTTTGCTTGCATGTGTTTCTAAATGCATCCACATGCTGTCTCATAATAAAGCCACAGATACATCAGTAATGGCGTATTTAATGGTTGATTGCTTTGCTTCAGAAAGATAAGGGGGTCACAGCTTTGCTAAGTAACCCAGAATAAATTGTTACATTTCTCCAAGCTTATTTACTAATTTAGACAATGACCCTCTGCCCTCCTCTCTCTGCAGGCAAGCCACCAATTTCACACGAAGGGGCACCTGTTCCAGAGCTGAACAAGCACCTGGATGGAGCCAGAGAACTCTGGAAGGCTGGTCATAAAGAATAAGCTTCGACTCCTTTTCAAATGTCTACTTTTGGGTAAGTCTCTTCATCTTTTTGTAAGTGGTAGTACTGTTCCTTGTTCTGCCTACCTTGATGAGGGTAGGATCAAGTGAGATGGATGCAAGGGTTTCTAGTGAAATGGAGCTTGAATCTGAGCCACTTAATTGATAGGCGTGAAACAATTCCCAACTGCATGCGTGTGTATCTTGCAATATTAGATGACTTCTTTGGGGGTTGCATGGGACAAGGAGATGGCAATGTGAATTATTCTCTGAACTCAGATGCCCCTGTAAACAGAATGCATCCTGTAATGCAATGTCTGGAGAGTGACCACGTGGAAATTCAGGCAAAGTCATCTATCAGTGCAGGAAAGAGTCCGAGGAATACGAGTTGGTCCTCAAAAACTTCCATTCCTCCTCTCTGTTGAGGCGAGATGTCTATAGTTCCTAGCACCAAGTCCCCAAAGCAGCCTCCAGATTATAGCGTATGCTCAGCAAGGAGTTGTTCCCTTGTCAACAATGAGCCTTAGTGCAGCAGTTGGACTGGAAGGAAAAGCCTTTGTCTATTAGAAAGCCTGCAGAGCTTGGTTGCTAAGCAACCCAGTCTGGAGGCAGCAACCAGCGTGCAGCACAAGGGAATCCAGGGAGGTGGGCCTGGGAAATGGGAGAAGTAATTCTTAGAGTCAGCTGGGGCAGAAGGAAAAACACTGCCTACTAACTACGTAAAGAACTGGTGCATACCCTGAATTAAGTTGTGCATTTTAGCATCAACGTGCTAAGTGCCAACACTCCCTAGGAACTACATGGTCTGCTGGAAAACTGTGTGACCTTGAGTAGGTGACTTTCTCCAGCCTCAGGTTGTCTGGCAAAAGCAGAAAGCTAAGGAGCCTGGTATCACTATTTCTTCCTATCCTTGCCACTGCAGCCACAGCTCCCCCCCCCAC